CTATCAAACTTGGTTCATTTCGTAAAGAATTCGGTACAGTATGAGAACATACATCAGGAGTTTTTTAAGCCGTTTAATAAACTCGCAGATCGTGTTTTATCGGGTCTAAAACCACTCGGCTACGCCTCGTGTTTTATACCCGATAAAACACTCCTGCTCGTTTATTAAACAGTACGTAGACAATTCGGGCTGTGCGTCTAATTGCTAGGGTCATTCATAAAATTTTGCAAAACGAATGATAGATGTTATCACTGAAGAACACCCCGGCATTAATTACGGACAATGTTGTCCTGGGCCCGGTTTTGGTGCGAAGGGTGGATAGCGCTGTGCGTTGGATAAATCCTTATCCGCAGGATGAATTTCAGTATTGGATAACAGCATTATAGCGTTTAGCGCTATCCACCCTTCGTACAACCACGTCCCGGTGRTACAAATGCACCTTACATGAACCTGCTTGATACGGACACTCCTGTTGCATGATTAACATAGACGCTTTGGCAAGTCCCCTAGAAGCATGCATTAGCATGGTTCTACTGTACCTTTGTCATAAATTCAGTGTTTAGATGATCCAATTTAATCTTCAATTGTCCATTTAAAGACTTGAGGTGGTTCACACTTGTGTTCAAGAATGCTTTAACATCTTTTGCTCTTTTTAGTGACGTATCTACTTCAGCATCCTTTTGCTTGAGTGATTCCAAAGATGTTCTGAACTCCACTTCAGAATTACTTAAATTGTGTACTTTAGACTTGATCAACGAATCGTTTAGACTTAAGTAATTCACTGCCACAGCAAGCCCAATCAACTTGGCGCTCATTTCTTGGATGATCTTGTTTTTGGTCCTGTCGCTTTTCTTTAGTTTCGTCAGAGAGGAATCGAGTTGAACTTGTTTTTCGCGAAGTTTTTGTAATTCGTTCGTTATGCTACTCGCACAAGTCGAGTTCTCGGCCTGTAAGTAAGAAAAGAGAAAGATACTAAAGGAAGGAAGGAGGGAAGGAAGGAAGGAAAGAAGGAAGGAAGGAAGGAAGGAAGGATTATCCAAGCACCTTCATCCGAGAGCTGACCGAGGAATCGACTCAGTCACGACGGCCAATATTATTATATCTCAAATGCATTTACTATAATTAAAGCAGTAAAGAGTGCTCTGGGTTAATCATTATAAAAACTTCTTGTTTCATCGTATCAAATCATCTTAAGCCAAAATTCGAGAAAGAGAATCACTGAAGACTTGCACTCGTCGTTGTACATCACCCTCAAGCTCCACATAGGCAAAGGCTGCTTTACATGCGGTCAGTCTTAACATCATCAAGCCTTTTTTATGAGACAAACAAAAGATTATTTTATTCCCACCTTGTCGCCATTGCCTCCATTGCCTCCGCCATTGCTGCCACCATTGCCTCCATTGCCTCCATTGTCGCCATCATTGCCATCATTACCTCCATGTTTCAATTTAAGTTGAAGAACCTGGGAGAAAAAAGGAATGTTCTTCAATGTAACGTAACAAGCATATAAGGTATCTAATAACAGGAAAACGTACGGTGTTGTTGCGTGCCGTGTGTGTCTATTAATCTAATCTACACACATGGCTAATAGCAACCACACTGGTGATTCACTTGGGCAAGAAACAGAACCAATCTTTTTTTTCAAATTAGACGTAGCAAGAACGACATTTTGTGACTGGAAAGCGTAACGTGACGTTGCAGTGCCGTGTGTGGTCAATTTTTAACTGTCACTCAAAATCTAATATACACAGCAAATAGCAAGCCAAGTGACTAGTATACTACTGCTTTTCTTGGGAAAGAAGGAGAACCAGTCTGATCAATAGGCCTTTTGCACTAGATTGACACGTGATTGTTACTGGATAACAAAAAAATTTGGAATTCCTTCATTTAAAGATTTTTTTGCAGGATTGCTAATGTCGTATCCAAAACCTTTTCAAATATACTTTTTTTTTCCCTTATGAGATACTTTCGATTTCCAGATACGAAGCAGTTTAAAGTTTGTTTGCCATCCAGCAGAGCCTTCCTCAAGGGACCTTGAGCTGAATTGATTCGCTATCAAAGTCACATATCAGCACGTGACTGTTTGTTGCAAAAGGCCTATTGCCTCGAATTAGACGGCGTAGTGGCGCAAGGGGGTAAGACGGACACGAGTACCAAACGGTAGGGGAGGAATATACTTACAAGTGATGAGATGTTCTTTTCTAACATGTCTATTCTCTTCAAAAGGAATGTYGTAGATGCATTTGGCTGAAGATCGTCTTTACATTGTTTTGTACTCTCTAGAAAAATATAACAATTCCTGATAACTCAATATTTTGTGCACCTTTCACGTAATTCTGATCAATGACCTATTTAAAGAAATTATGAATGTAATATAGAGAGAACATACTGAGAAATTAAACTAGTGGAGTAAACTAAGCTCTTGTCATAAACCTGTTGCAAGGCACCATTTTGACAAACCAGGTCAGCACAGCTCGATTTAGGGGTGGGAGGATGGAGCTTGAGATAGTGGTCACTCCTTCTAAAATCAGTTTATCAAGGTTTACAAAAGCAGTTTTCCCAAACGGGCAATACCCAGTTCCCCCGCGCAACAAATAAGTGCCTATTGAACCTCATTCGTTCCGTCAACGGCTAATAACATCTTTACATTTCCCTTCCCACTAATAGACCGATTCTTGCAATTTCTTGAGCGATATGACTGTGCAATTGTTTGCAGGAGATATAGCCTATGATTTGCACTGGCTGGGAATTACTGGTTGACCAGATCGTGTAATCTCATATTATTTCGCCTTGTATCGATTGTGTGCAATTATCTTTCTAATTGACTTAACAGATACTGTCTGCCCAATTTCATGTCGTAAAAAACTCTATTTTTGCATTCATATCAAACAATTGTTGTCATTCGCGGGCTTCCTGTGGTGACAAACCACGCTCCCCTCCCCTACACAATTTCTAGTCTTTTTTCGGCCAAAACCAAGATGGCTGATAGTGATGTTTTCACTCGATTTACTGTAAATTTGAGCAGTTTTGAGCAAGAAATTCGCCTATTTAGTGAAGAAAATTATATTCCAATTTCCTAATATGGTAAGTACATTCCATATATGGTAAAAGAAACAGCTCGAGCGGAACGACAACTTTTCTATGTGGAAAGTTTGATATGCGTATACCTTTACATAGTGTGTGTGATTATATTGACCTGTATGACATAAACCCATTTCCGTCCTCTAGGCAAAATTTCTCTTTTTCGATCGCCATCCTGCAGAGAGCGGAAAGCCACGAATCAAGGATCACCAATGGTGTGAAAGACAAATAAGATACATTTAGAAAATCTCTCAGTTTAAAGGATCAAGACGTTAACATACTGGAGTAAAAAACAACAATTTTTTCTTAAAGATTCACTTTAGATAATGAACAAGATTCTTTCAAAAGACAAGTGTTGAAACAGGTTTTGATCGTAACAGATTCAAACAGGATCGATGTGGTGGTGAAACCACTTTACAAAGTATGTCAGAATATCTCACAAAAGCCAAGGATCTGCCATAATATACTAAAGATATAGGCTTACCAAGATCGCTATTGCAGACTTACTTTGGGCCAATGATTCCTATCACACTTAAAACCACCAAAATTAAAGATGTGAACGAAACTAGGAGAATTACACCAAGAATAATCTTGAGAGCTCTTCTCGCTGTTTCCTGTTTAACTCGTGTGCGACCAGAAGCCATATTCACTGCGACTTGCTCAGTAAATATGTTGTCAAATATCAAATATCTGAAGTCTTAAACAAGACAGTTTCGTCTTTAGTCTCGTCTTTAGTTTTTGGGCAACAAGTGTCTGCTCTTTAAAGGATCTCTAAAGGATCAATGACTTACTGTAAACTCTTCAGTGATACGTCTCATACGTTTTTGCGTCAGCTTATATTTCACCAGTCTTCCTCGGTTCTGATTACGCCACTTGAAACTTAATCGCTTGAATTTCAGATAAAAAGATGTCGAATTATCGCTGTATTAGAGTCTAACAACAGTATCAAGGAGCCTTGGGCATATCATAGTAAGAGAGGATGCACATAAATTGATTGTCAAACTGCCTAGCATGTTGTATAAATTTCTCCTACCGTCCCCGACCAATATTAAATCGCCTCTTGTATCTCTCTTCTCTCAAAATTAATTGATATCCATTCCTTTGCCAATGACGTAATGGAAGATGATAAGATGACCTCATAGCCCTCCTTTATTTCGGAAACCGCTTCATTATGAGAAATCGAGTTTTAATCACTTCATTATTTCATCATACCTAATATTGTTTAATCGATTAATAGACCTTATTCGTGGCGTGACAATGTTTTCCCAATTTCCCAATTCAACGTGACAAACCTCAAGAGGATACATTTTCCTTTGTTTTTATTCTCCCAAAGGATACGATATCCCGACGAGTTTCAAAACAATAGCTGTTCATTCCCCCAGAGGTTTGTCACGCTGAATTGGGAGAACATTGTTACACCACGAATAAGGTCTATTGACTTAGCTTTTCATACTGAGTGATTATCTTTCTGGTAGTAATCGTACGACTCTCCACATGACGTCGGTAGGATTCCTACAGCATTAACCAATAGAGTGCCAGCATTTACTCAACGTCATTTATTTACAGAGAGCGACATAAGTGACTGAAATTATAACTTACACTTATAACCGGATCGCGTTTTAATCATGCCAAAGCAAAGATATAATTATAAGGGCCGAAGTCCAAATGTTTTGGCCTTCGAGCAAAGTGGGGGACAAGATGAAGACTTGTCTGGTTGTCTCTCCAGTGATCTGGTCGCCGGGCAATCCCTGGCAGCCAAAAATAGAGGCAAAGCGTTAGATGAGCGCACGTTGCGCCTCTATGAAACGAGGCTGATACATCTTGAGGAATTTGCCACAAACCAGGGAGATGAAGCGCTTCTATTTGGAGAAAGAAAACGTCCCTTCCTAGCTGTTACCATCATGACATTCCTACGTAAGTTTTTTTATCATAGATGTTTATGGAAGGTTAAAGAAGACTATTTCTGGACTACTATGCTTTGATGCTCGAACGCCTAGTGTACTTTCGTCAAAACGTCATATTCAAGAGCAACTTTGACGAAAAGATTCAACTGATTTAAAATCGCATTCACGTTAAAATAATATTTTATAGTTAACCAAAATGTCTAAGAAATTTTAATCTTTAAATATGCGGCAGAGATTTCAATTAATTTGAGTTCGGCATGACGTGTCGGCACGAAGCACGGATGTCACAAGTAAGCGTGAATTATCAAAACGAATTTCTTTCATGACCATAGACATTCAAATGCTAAGTAACTAATGTTTATCAAACTCATTACATATGCATAACTAGAAAGCGAAACTAGGATATCAAACAGAACGTGAAGCAAAATATGGATTCCAAGAGTGAGACATATTTTGAGTTGAACTCAATCTGTGGATTTCGGGCGGTGTCCATAGTTCGCGCTAACGCAAAACGTG